TCAGGTTCTTCATCTGTAAAATGAGGATCATGATACCAATCACTCAGGGAGGTTGAAAGGATCAAATGGAGTGATGCTGGTACAGTTGTTCAGCACAAGGCCTGGCATATGGTAAATACTCACAGAGGGAAGATTAGTATTCTGATTGTTTTCAAATAAGAAGAGTGTGTTTTGCTGGGGAAAGATTCTACTTGACTAATCACAAGAAGTTTCTTTCTTCCTCCATGAGGGTGCCACTTGGCGTCCTGGGTAAGGTTTCAAATCCAAAGTCACGTCACTCAGATCCTGCTGTCACTGCCAGGAAGTGCCAGGAGGTTCGGCGATTGATTGAATTCTCTCAGCCTCCATTCCCTCATCTATTAAACAGAGTCGATGAGCAGAGGGCTGTTGTGAGGAATTAAAGACAGGTGCCTGGCACGTAGTACAAGTTCAAGAAATGAATTGCAGAGCATGGGAGAGGTCATTTCCACTGGCAGGAGCTGCATATCCTGCTGCTGTTGTAGTGAGTACAAATCTCTGTCCAAAGACTCCAAGGAGCAACGAATGTGCATTTCTTTGCTTTCCTATAATTTAATTTTTATTCTCTGCCCTGTTTGCAGAGATGGCAGAAATCGAATCCTATCACCCCAGGCTCTGATGCTCTTCTTTTGACTGGTTCAGGGGACGAGGTGCTTACAGAGGCAGTGGGGTGGGGCATGTGGGTACCTGGTCCTTGGTGGTGGTCTGCCTGCGCTGACATCTGCTGGGATATTCCCAACCCACGTGGTCTCATGCTGGTGCACACTGCCAGAACAGCCACCTCTCTCGTTCCCAGTTACAGGGTCTCTCAGCTGTGTGGGCACTCAGGACCTTGTTCATGACTCTTGGGCGGTGTGTGGGAAACCCTCTAAGGCCGCGAGACCACGTGATGGCCTGGGGATCTTTGGGCTGTCTTGGGTCTGCCTGCCCCTTCATCATGGGCAGGGGAGACTCTGGGGTCCTGCTACTTCCCCAGGGTTTATCCAGAACAAGGACACGGCTCCCTCTCTTCTTGAATCCCCCTTGCCACATTGCCCCCTTTCTCGTTCCGATGCCCTTGACCTGCCTGGCATGGTAGCTTTCGTCCATCTTCCAAAAGCATTCAGTGCCCCGAGTCATCTGCAGCCTGACACCCAGGCTCTCAGAACTCCACAGACGTGCACATGTCTTACCTCTGCTTTGTGCCTTGTATCATCCCTTCTCAAATGCAATGCATGCCTCTGACTGCGGAAGGAAAACAGGATGGGCGAGGAAACTCGGTTGGTAGTTCATTCTACTTTTCCGCCACACTGTGTTTTTATCATATATACAGAGAAAGACAAATTAGGAAGTACATAGAAATTGGGGGCAGGGTGGGTATGTGGAAACTTGCCAGGCTTGAGAATATTTTTGATGCGACCATGGCCCTCCAAGTGCTCTGAGCCCTTCCCTCTTGGGGTCCTGGGGAACTCCTTCCCTGAGCCTGGAAACACACCTTCCGGAAGATTCTATTCTGTTTGCAGTAAGGATGGTGCCTTCTGCCCAGCCTGCCTCTGCTGCAGCCACCATCCCCATGCAGGGGGACCCCCTTGACCTCTTGTCTTTCTTGGTCCCGCCTCATCAGCACCCCTATTGAGCATGCTCCAGTGTGCACCAGCCAGGCCGCCACCCCGCTGCTGCCCGCTTCTGCCCAGCCACCTGCTGCTGCCCCTCCCAGTGCAGCATCGCCACCCCTGACCGCAGCCACTGCCCATGCTGCCACCGCCTCTGCCGCAGCCCCTGCCTCAAGCCCCGCGGACAGTCCAAGGTAACTGGCCCACAGGTGCCGGCCCTGACCTCAGGCAAGGGAGGCAGGAACGGCCTCAGCCTGGGTCCACCTGTTGACAAATGTGTCCAGCCCTCAGAAAGGCCCGTCCAAGGTGGTTGGGACCCCGGGGTCCTTGGGAAGCCAAGCCTAGCACTGCCTGGTGTTGAGAGTGAAGGGGAGACTGGGGGTCACTGCAGGGGAGCACACTGTGCGGCTCAGGACCGACATAGGGACGTGCTGCCCTGCCCCCAGCACATGTTCTGAGATAGACGTAAAAGTCTCTCTCTCTCACACACGCGCACACGCACACACACACAGAGTTAGAGAACAAAGACCTGGAACTGAGATAAAGGAGGAGAATGGAAATTGTCCCTATGGTCTGGGGAAGTCAGGAAGGCTCTCTGGAGGAGGGAGCAGAGACAGTGTTGACCTGGGCATGTCAGGCCTGTCAGATTTGGGCAGATATTTAGCGACTAACTTGCCCTCTCCCTTTACCCTCTCTTCTCTCTTGATAGAGAGCACACTACCCCCAGAGGTACCCCATGTCACGGGACTTAAATCTCTGCTCCACCACTTACTCTCTATAATCCGCAGACAGTGACTTAATTTCTCTGAAGCTCAGTCTCTCCTCTGCTAAGATGTTTAATGCAACATCTATTTTTGAGGGTTGGGACAGAAAAAAGTGTGCGTAAATCACCTAGCACATAAAATGCTCTCAAGTATTATGAGTTACTGCATTTCAGTCTACCTCCTGGATACCCAGCAAAGGCAGGGGTGGGGAAGGGGGGAATGGGGGGTTGTAGTTTGCAAAGGGTGCAGAGGGGTGTGGGGAGGTGGACAGGGCAGGCTGGATGAGTCATTCTAGAATGGCCAGGCAGTGTAACGGCCAGACAGGCCCAGCTCTTTCTGGGCTGCATGGAGTTGTCAAGTTGGTGTTTGGGGTCAGAGCCAGCTTTCCCAGTTTCCCATGCTCCCTTCCCAGGGTTTTGCTGGAAAGGTCATGCCTCTCTGGGTCAGGGTTCAAAGGATGGAGGGTGGGCAGAGTGGCCTGCAGACCTGTGTGCTGCCCCCCTGCCCCCAGGCTTCATAGGGACCTAGGTGGTGCCAAGGCCAGGCTTTGCCCAGCCCAACTCAAGCCTCAAGGGTGAGCCCAGTCTGGACCTCCAGGGGTTGTTTTATTCCAGCTTCCTGGGGTCACTTAGCAAGTTGCTTCCCCTCTGCACACGAGAGTCTCTTCAGGTATGGGCACAAAGAAACTTTGAAGAGGGTAAGAAATGTCTCTGTTGTTAAGTGGGGAGATGCGTCTCAAGTTGGATGGAGAAGCTCCAGACGCTGGGGCCTTGCTCAAGGGTAAGCTCCAGCACTGTGCTTCAGGCCTCTGTGTCTTCAGTGTCCTGGGGCCCTCAGGAGCCCCTCAACAGAGCAAACTGTTCCTTCCTTTGCCTTGCAAAGGGAGATGAGGGCTGGGTGGAGGTTGGAGAGACACCTGGAGGGGTCCTAGCACCAGGCCAGAGCAGAAAGGACCAGGGAACCACACCCTGGGCCCAGATACCTCCCCTTCTCCCACAAGGCTAGATGGAGCTAGAGGGAGCCAGTGGGAGGCAAACGGACACCCCAGCCTTTCTTGGCATGGCCTCGGAATCCTTGCTGGGTGTCTTAAGCCTCTGCTTCCTCCCCCAGTGCCAATCCCTGACACAGGCTCTTTAGCTCCTGGGATGCTGGGAAAGCTTTCTCCACAGCTGGGAGAGCCTGGCTAAGCCCCACTGACCCTCAGCCTCCCACCACAGAGGAAGCTGGACACCCCTGGACACTCCCTCTTCCATTAAGGCCCCTATTCCACTGTGGTTTATCAGAGCAGGGCAGGCCGACCCAGGGAGGGGAGACAATGCCTCACCCCATCAGGAACATGGTAACTTGGCACGGTAAGTCTGCACACCCCCTGCGTCTGGGACACTGGCTGTCTGAGGCTCATTCTACCTCCATACCATCTGGGCAGCACTGCACACGCTTCCGGGTCTGCTCAGGAGCTTGGCAGTGTGGTGGGTTCTTAGCTCAGGGCCACCCCCTCCCAGAGCCCTGAAGAAGAAGGTGCTTCCTCATCCTTGGACTCTGCCCAGCACCTGGGCCCGGGGGGAACAGCTGGAAGGAAGGCAGGAAGCCATGGGCTAGGGGCGGGTCATATATTAGCAGGGGCTCACTTCTCTAGCATCCCCATCAATGACCCATTTGCCCTGGGTATGGACATGTGGTCTCCAAAGGGATCTGAAAGATGTCGGGAGAGACCAAGGATGTGTTCAGTAAGGTGTTCTTCAGTTTTAAGTGGAAAAAAAAGGGGGGGGGGTTGTTCACTGACAAATGAAACTGGGAAACACTGAATGAGGCAAAGTTGAACGTGCTGCTTAACTCCAGTTCTTAGAGCCTTTAGTTCTCCAAGGGGAGAGGCCAAGGACGGCATTTCCTGAGGGCAATGAACTGGGGCACTTTCCCCCCATCACTGATGTCCCATGGTTCCTGGGTCACAAGTGGGAAAAGGCTGCTCTAGGCCTCTTGGCTGCTAACTCAGCGGGAAGAGGGCAACAGGAATCCTGTGCAGGGAAGCCTGTGTGTGTGTGTGTGTGTGTGTGTGTGTGTGTGTGTTGCAGGGGGTGTTTCCTGGCTTCCCATGAGCCCTCCCTGGAGCACCCAGAAACCTGAGACTTGGCAGCTCCCTCCAGCAACGTAAGAAGGGGAATGGGGAGGAGGCCAGTGGTCTGAGGCTGTGCCCCAGAAGGTCAGAAGGTTTAGGGAGACGGGTAGCTCTGACCACCTCCATCTGTCTCCTCTCTCCTGCTACTTCCCCCTCCAGCCCCAGCCCCACCCTGGCAATCTCTCCCTGGGGAGTGAAGGGTTTTCTGTGTGTCTTTCTGGCTGGTTGGTGATTTTTCTCCCTCTCTCCTAAGGTGGTGGCATCAGCAATGGGCTGTATTGCTCTAACCAGGCTCACAAAGACTCAGCCCCCCAAAAGCAGCTTCTTCCCCTCAAAGACCACCATGGTCTTTCCTTCACAGCCTCTGGCAACCCCCTAGGACTATCTCTGTCAGGTTTCCTCCTCACAGAGGCTTCTGAAGATCCGGGAGCCAGCCTGCCGGGACTGCAGGCCCCAGGGCCTGGGTGGGGCTGTGCTTCTGGCTGCTAACTCCTCCCCCCTTGGTTCCAGGCCCCAGGCCTCTGCCTACAGTCCCGCCAAGGCGACCTCTCCAGCACCTGCCACTCATACATACAGTGAGGCCTCAGCTGCCCCTGCGCCCAAGCCCCGGGTTGTCACCACCGCCAGCATCCGGCCTTCTGTCTACCAGCCAGGTGAGAGGCAGAACGGAGGGGAGGCTGTCAGGCTGGACATGGCTTCTAGGCCACATCCCGAAAAGGTTGGTGGCCAGTGAGACCCTGCTAACGAGGCTCAGCCCTCCTTCCTCCAAATGTGGGCCAGAATCCTATGGAGCCTGCCTCTGGCCCTGGGGAGACAGGTGAGCGGTGCCAGGCAGGAATGGAGCCACCGAGCTCTTAGGAAGATCCTGTTCCTGGCTGAGGATTTCCAGGCTCAAGGTGAAGGAAGAAAGGGTTTAGAGGAGGAGCTTGTTTCTCCAGGAGTCTGGGTCTGCCTCAAGCTGGAAGACAGGTAGGTGTAATGAAAACACCATAGGCTTTGGACAGACCTCCTGCATCATGCTGTGACCCTGGGCAACCTGCTCATCCTGTCTGGTCTTTGGTTTCCTCAGCTGAGGCAGGATAATGGAGGCCCAGAGAGCACACGTGACCAGCAACAGAATGGCCAGCACAGGGTCAGCCGGTGGCTGAGCTCACTTGGCTGTCTGTTCCATTGCTCTGGTCCCCATTCTCAACACTGCCCCCGGCCCCTCCACAGGGATGAGGACTCAGCCCCATGTCCCCTCTTTCCTCACAAAGTCTGGCCTGCTCCTCAGAGCCTGAGGGCAATTCTGTTACCTCGCCCTCCCTTGCCTGCCCCCTGCACAGTGAAGCCGAGGGCTCTTTAGCCAGTATTTTCCCAGGCTGGGGGAAGGTCCTGTGTGCCCTGGTCTAGCGGATATGTCCACAGGAGGGCTCTGGGCATCTATAGCCGTCCAGGGCTGATATCACCAACCCCTCCTTCCCACTGGATTCTGACCCTGAACTCCAGGAGGGCAGGGCTGTGGCAGATTTTCTTCACTGGCTCCCCAGCCCCTGACTCAGGCCTGGCACCGAGGAGGTGCTCAGCAAAGGTAGTGGATGAAGGAATAAATGAATGAATGAATGCTGGTAAGGAACTCAAATTGGGAGTAAAGAATGGCATGGGGAGAGGCTGTGAAATGCGTACTCTGGTGGCTGAACACACAGGGGTCATGGGTCACAAGGGTTCCTAGAGGGGACCCATGCAAGTTCCATGGGTGGCTGAGATAGGATTTTAGGTGGGCACATACTTTTCATTTAAAGCATATTTCTCTTCACAGACATCTTGACTATAGAAATTCTAGCAATAATGACATTTTCCACTTGCAGTAGTATCCAAATTGTTCTCCACCCCCCTCCCAAATGGTTACACACACACACACACACACACACACACCACTTTCACACATGGTAACAGTGATGAGGTGAGGAAGTTAAGGACTTGTTCAGGAAAGAATGGGGTAGCTAACTCTAAGGGGACAGGGAGGGGGCTTCTCGATATCACGCCAGAAAGGGAGAGTTGGTCAAGAAGTCATAAGGTCGAGTGCAGACTCAGGAGCATATCCTGTTTTTGTTTTTTGGTTTTAAAGATTTTATTTATTTATTTGACGAGAGACACAGCAAGAGAGAGAACACAAGTGGGGGTGGGGGGTGGGAGAGGGAGAAGCAGACTCCCCTGCCGAGCAGGGAGCCCGATGCCGGGCTCCATCCCAGGACCCTGGGATCATGACCTGAGCAGACGCCTAACGACTGAGCCACCCAGGCGCCCCAGGAGCGTATCCTGTTAGGGAAAAGGAGAGACCCCAGAGAGGATCCTCAATGAAGCCGGAGAGCAGGGGAGGTCAGACAGGGACTGCGCTGGAAGGGCCTTGCTCTGGGGAGCCTGACTTGACGCGCAGGGCCGAGGAGCCATCATGAGCCCTCCTAGTCTAGAACTCTCTCTGCCCGCGGTGTTGAGCGTGGGCGGCAGAAGCGGCTTCAGCATCAGACAGGCTCCTGTGCGGGGCTCTGCTCCGCCTCCCCCAAGGCAAAGCTCTTCGTCTCGGCGGCCTGAATTCCCTGCTCTGAAAAATGGGCACGAAGCTATGTAGACCTCGTGTTCTGGGGACGAAATGAAGCACCCAGCCGAGTACTTGGCACACAGGAGGCGCCCTTCCCTGTCCTTCCAGGGGCAGGGACACAAAATTCTGAGGTTAGAGTCACAGGATTAGGCAGCAATTCGGAGCTGGCTGCAGTGGTGAAACATCTCCGAGGGAGCTGGAGGACGCGGCTGCCCAGCGGACACGGGGACCACTGCAGGGAGGGCGGAAAGGAACCCGGCTGAGGCGAGGCGCACTGTCCGCGCCCGGAGCGCATTTCCGGTCCGGCCCGGGCTCCTTTCCCAGGCGGGTCCTCCTGGGCACCTTCCGGGGCGGACCCCCGGGCTCCGGCTCTCCTCCGCAGGCCCGCCAGGGGGCGGCACGGCTCCGGGGGCGCGCGCCCGCCTGGCCCGCCCAGCGCCCCCTCACCTCCTTGCCGGGCTGGGGCCCAGGCGGGCGAGACGTGCTGGAGCCCCGGGCCGGCGGGCCTCCCTCCGCGGCGTTCCCAGGCGGTGCAGACGTTAACTCATGCCTGCCTGCAGGGAAAGAGGCGGCCGGCCTCCGCCCCTCTCCCGGGGAGGCCGGGCGGCTGGCAGGCGGCCCGGGGAGAAGCGGGGAGCGCGGGCCCGAGCCGCTCCCGTCCTCCGCTGACCCAGGCCGGGCCGCAGCTCCCCGCGGGACTCCTCTGGGCCGAGGGTGGCGTTCGCAGCCCGGCTGTCATCGCCGGCGCCCGGGCTGGGGCGGCCGCTCCCTGGAGCACCTGGGGCCCGGGAGGCGGCCGGGTCGGCCTCGCGTGGGCGGAGGGACCCCCCGCACGGGCCGGGGGGAGGCCACGTCGGCCCGCGGGCCGGGCGGGGGCCGGCGCCCGTGGGGAGCCAGGCCCGACCTGGGATGAGTCAGAAATCACCTTGTTTAATTACACATTCCCGAGGCCGCCGAGTGCGATAGGGGCCTTTTGAACTTGCCAATTAGAGATGAAATATCACCTTCTAATTTAGACGGGCTTAATTCCGTCAAGCAGAAATAGCAACAGCCCCGGGCTCGGAGATGGGATATCAAGTCTCCCTTCTGGCACGTCTGGGGTGGCGCGGCCAGAGCCAGGAGGAAGGGCGCAGAGGCAAGGGGACTGGGAAGCAGCCGCTCCTCGCGCTCCCACCCTCACCCCCCTAGAGTGGGGGGACGCGATGCGGAGTGGGGAGCTGCCCGCCTGCGCCTCGGGGAACGGAAGGCCCCTAGGGCAGCCCACCGGGCTCGGGATTCCCGCATGCCTCTGACCTGCCCACGCTTTCGCGGGGGCTTAAAAGAGGGGACTGGATCAGGGAGTCTGGAAGGCCTTCGGAGGAGGGAAGAGAACGTCTGCCAGGCAGAAGGAATAGGGTTTGTGTTGCTGGAGGGAAGCAGGAAAAGTGGGCAAGGGCCCGAGTTGGAAGGGGCGTGCTAAAGCCTGTTTTGCTGCCTAGGGAGTGGTTAAGCGGGGGATCTGGAGTTGAGTCCCACTGCCCGAGCTCCCCAACTTTCCAGTAGTCACTTAGGCTCACCAAGCTTCAGTTCTCCAACTGTAAAGTGGACTAGAAAATATTCTCTGCCTCACTGGATTGCAGTGAGTATTACATGAAATAATACACATAAAGGGCCTCGCCTGTGGAAGCCAGTCAGTCTTAGGTAGGGGCTGTGCTGATGAGGGCTGATGAGGGCAGCACTGTCCAATAAAAATAAATTTTCTAGTTAACCACATTTTTTAAGGAGAAGGAAGCAGGTGAGATTAATGTTACCATATTTTATTTGACTCAGTATATTCAAAGTATCATTTCAATATATAGTCAATATAAAATAATGATTAATGAGATATTTATATTCCTTTCTTGTGCTAAGCCCTGGAATCTAGTGTGTATGTTACATTGATAGCACTTCTCAATTTCGATTAGCCACATTTCAAGTGTTTACTGGCCACCTAGGGCTGTGCACTGGCACAGGATTGGGGCTTTGTTCTTAATCCCTTTCAGCAGAGAGCCCCCACTTTACAAAAAAAAGGGTGGGGGACAAAATGTTGCTTAGAACCCCATTATGTATAATAGAGAGGGATGAAGCTGCTCTGAAGTTCTGCTAGATCACCTCTCCCCACACCCCCACCCTGGTGGCATTCCCCTCATCACCCCTGCCCCAGCACTTTGAGACCCTCTGCTCTAGGCACTTGGCTGCTACACAAGGTTGTTAGGAAGGGTGGCAACACTTGGAATCTGGGCTTCACAAATTTGTACAGTGCATGCATCATGTCACCCCAGTAGGTCCCCACCACTCTTTGAGGCAGGCAGGGGCATCATACTTTCTACCACTGGTGATAGACTCAGTCCCAAGTTATCGGATTTCAGGGTGTCACATCTCCCATCCCCACCCCCAACATCCCACAGTCTCCCTGGATGGGTTCCCTCAGGTGACCATCAGGCAGTAAGATGAGCTGACAGTTCACCCAGACCCTGAGACCCAGAAGTCACCATCCTCACTAACGTGAAATGATGCATACACTGTACCAGGCCCTAGGATAAGCACTTTATATTTCTTGTCTCCTTGAAACCTCATAACCAACCCGTGAGGCACTAAGAATTATTAATGCCATCTTTAAAAAAGGACATTCAGGCCCAAAGACGTTAAGCAACTTGCCCAAGGACACACAGCCAGGATGTAGTAGTGCTGGGACCTGAACCTAGGGCTCTTGATGGCTGTGCTACATGCCAGAGCATGGGACCTCCTCCAAGTTTATAGTTATTCCTCAATGACATGGTGTGCCAAGATTTTCTGGAAATTAGACTTATTCTTTACAGAGGCAGCTTGGGGTAATAGAATAGTTTTGGAGACTCACTCTGCCACTTACTGTGTCTGAGCCTCAGTGACTTCAACTGTAAAGCGGACTAAACCAGATGATTTGTTATGTGCCAAGCCTACTCCCTTAGTAAGTGGGAAGAAGATTGATTCCTTATGGAGAGAGTTTTACTTTTAGAAGCCAGCATCACTCCCAACATGGCTCCAAAACAGGGCCGTGGCGGATTTTACCCCTTCAGCTTTTGATAACACAGGCCTGGTGCCTACCCACCCACAGTACTGGGGTTCCTGTGTTACCCAGCTCTGAAGGGCCAGTCATCTTGGAGTAGAACAATACGATTGGAACAGCAGGCCACAGGCCACCAAAGGTGGTCCAGGAGAACCAGGTGGGAGAGACCAGAGGCCAGGTGGGGAACTTTAGCCCTGAGCAAGACCTTCCTTTCCAGGCTGGAAACTGAGGGGGGCTGTCTCAGGACCCCTCAGCATAGTCCATCCACCTAGGCAAGCTCAGGAATGGAGGGAGATTGCCCCAACATGCTTCCCAGGATGGGAGGAATGAGGCCTCTTTCCAGAGGCACAGACTGTGAGTTGAGGTGAGGCTTCTGGAACCTCCCTGGCTGGAAGAGGAAGCTGGCTGGAATGTGTGCAGGCTCCACAATGGGAGGCAGCAGAACTTAGAAACCTAGGTTTTGAGGGCCCAGGCCTCAGAGGGCTATGGGTGAGCAGCTGCAGTGCTCCTTCGTGTTGTCACCCCAAAAGGTTTTTTAGCTCGGGGAGACTTGGAGGTAGGGGTTCCAGAAGTGAGGCAGTACATTCTCCTGCACTCTTTCATGGTAATTTCACACGCACTCAGACATACTTTGTTTCCCCCAAAGTGGTGTAGGGGAGCATTTGTCTCCTAGAGGCAGCCACAGACTGAGGGAGCAGCTAGACCTGGGCTGTGTCACCCCAACATCTCTGCCCAGGCTCCCTCTGAATGGCTCTCTCAAGACCCCCACCCCAATCAAACCAAGGTGAAATTTCCCCCAATATAAATCAAGCTGAAGTGTTTTTTGAGAAAATGACTGTAGCTAAACATTTCATGTTTAGCTACTGTACCCGAAAACCCAGCTGCCCTATCATCTACTTTGTCCCAAAGGCTGGACTAGGTCCAGGTTCAGCAAACACATGTGATTGAAGCATTTCAGATGTCAAATCCCTGGTCAGAGTGCAACTGAAAGCATCTTCCAGTCAAGGCCAAGTTGACCCACTCCCACCCCCTTCCCGGCCCAGGGGACCCAGATATGAGGCTTGCCTGGCATGCCCGCCCCGATTCCCTGTCTTCTACAGGCTTCTGGAAGCCAAGGCCTGGCCGAGCCCCACCCCGCACAGCTGCAGATATTTATAGCTCTGTCCCTTTCCCAGCCCTGTTCAAGCTCCCGAGGGCTCTGCTCTGGTTGCTCTTTATCTCCCTTGGCTCCCTGCTGCAAATTCAAATCTGGGGCATCAAGAAGTTCAGGAACGTGTCCTCCATAAAAATTGGAATTGTACCGCTCTAATATTAAAGTCACCTTTTAGAGTTTTCTGGCTGGGGTGGGGCAAGTTGGGGGAAATGAATTCCTGATACATTTTTCTTTGGCTATTTTTGGCTTGCAGTGCCTGCATCTACCTACAGCCCATCCCCAGGGGCCAATTATAGTCCAGCTCCCTACACCCCCTCACCTGCCCCTGCCTACACCCCCTCGCCTGCCCCCACCTACTCCCCTTCTCCGGCACCAGCCTATACCCCCTCGCCAGCCCCAAGCTATAACCCTGCACCCTCAGCGGCCTACAGTGGGGGCCCTGTGGAGTCTGCCAGCCGCCCCCCATGGGTGACAGATGACAGCTTCTCTCAGAAGTTTGCCCCTGGCAAGAGTACCACCTCCATCAGCAAGCAGACCCTGCCCCGAGGGACCCCTGCCTACACCCCGACAGGGCCCCAGGGGTCTCCCCTGGCCAGGGGCATCGTTCAGCGGGCTGAGCGTTTCCCAGCCAGCAGCAGGACTCCGCTCTGTGGCCACTGCAGCAACGTCATCAGGTATGGTCTGAGCTGGGGCGCTGGGAGAGCAGGGGTGTGGGGTTCTTGTGCACTGTCTGAACCCTGTGGTAGGGCACGGGAGGTGAGAGGGAGGGCAAGAGTAGGGAGAAGGCTCCCTGCTGGGCAGCCTCAGGCTCCTCTGGCTTGCCACCTAGTCTGACCCTCTTTGAGCTTTGGCTTCCATACCTGTGTGACACCCACTTCCCCGGGAGTCGGGAGAATTCCATGAAGTAAGTGGGTGAAGCTCCCAGCACGGTGCCTGGTGCCAGGACCTCCCCCTCGGGCTAAGGCCGGGTTCTGGGAATCATAGGTCTTGTTGTCAGGTTTATTGGGCATGTTGCAAGCTGGCTGACAGTGCTAGTTTTGACCCAGCTTTCCTTTAGGGTTCTTTCTGGGTCTTTCCACAGACAGGCCAGTGTTGCTCAGGGCTTTGGTGGGCATCTGCCACCCTAAAAGGAAAACAAGTCATTTCACAGACGTAGGTGACACTTGTTTGGACATAGTATGTTCATAGGATGTGTGTGTTAGGGAGGAGGGCATATATATGGGATAAATACACTTTTACTTAAAAATAAGGTAACACATGCTCATTAAAGAATAATTAGAGAGTTCCAAAAAGTAAAAATGAAAATGTACCACATTTCCTCATAGTCCCACTGCTCTGACTGCTAATCTGGATCTGGGCTACCCAGGCGGTACTAGCCCTGTGGCCTTGAACAACTTACTTTACCTCTCTGTGCCTCAGTTTCCTTATCTGAAAGCAGGTACCATAATCCTACTTCTTAGGATTGTTGTAAGCACTAACCAAGTTAATCCATGCACATTTCTTCTTAAACAGTGCCGGGCACAGAGTACACACTCAATAAAGGCCAGCCATTGGCATGGTCATCTTGGCTCTTCTTGTTACGATATTCTATAATACACTTCCCCCATCCCCTACTTGGAAATATTTGAGTTGCTTCCCTGTTGTTGATGCAACAATGAATATCTTTTTGCATAGAGCTTTATCTGAATTTCACATCAGTTCATTAGAACAGTTACAAAAGTCAGGGTTATTGGGTCAAAGTATGAATAGTTTTGGGTGTCCTGAAACATCTGGTCTCGAGCTTTTGGGGCTGCCTTAATAGGGGCCATTCTCTGCTTCCCCAGGGGCCCCTTTCTGGTAGCCATGGGCCGTTCCTGGCACCCAGAAGAGTTCAACTGTGCCTACTGCAAGACCTCCCTGGCTGACATGTGCTTTGTGGAGGAGCAGAACAATGTGTACTGCGAGCGCTGTTACGAGCAGTTCTTTGCCCCAATCTGTGCCAAGTGCAACACCAAAATCATGGGGGTAAGTGGGCAGCATCCCTCTCCTCTGACTCTTGTCTTTTCCCCAATCTTTCTCCCTCCCCAAGGTTGTGGGGGCCTGTTAGGAAGCCAAGAAGTGGCTGCTAACAGAGAGAGAACAACTTTCCATCCTACAAGGGAGTTGGTTTGCCACCAATGAGCTAGGGAGCGAATGAACGTGGAGGGAGAGATGATGACTTGCCTGGGCCACATGGCTCGAAGTGTTGGTGGAGCTTCTGCAAAGCAAGTTATTGCTTCATAGACTGACCTCGCCACGCACCCACATGTGGCCTTGACCCCTCCATGCTCCTTTGGTAAAGCAGCGGTAATAAGCAATACCCTCCACCCCAGCTTTGAGGGGAGGGTTCAGAATCACAGCTAATGTAACCACCTCTCCGATGATTTTGACAGAGAACCTGGCACCCAGCAGGTGCTACATGAGTGTGAACTCCTCTGTCACCCCCGGGCCTTTCCTCAGCACGTCCAAGGCCCACCTCCTGGGCTCTCTTGCCCTGTTCCCTGTTGGGATGCTCCAGCAGTAGCCAGGGCCTGGTGGGGAAGAGGGGGCCCAGCTTCCTCTCTCCCCTGAACCTCTTGGCCTGAGCGGAGGCTCTTTCCCCACAGGAAGTGATGCATGCCCTGAGACAGACATGGCACACCACCTGCTTCGTCTGCGCAGCTTGCAAAAAGCCCTTTGGGAACAGCCTCTTCCACATGGAAGATGGGGAGCCCTACTGCGAGAAAGGTAGGACCGCTATGCTGTGGGGAGGCCCCAGCGTCTGGGAGAAAGGAGCAGGTACAGGAAGCTCCTGCCCGTGTCCATTCACATGGAACCATCAGAAGGCCCCAAATGGCAGAATCATGCTTTCCTGGGGTGGGGGCTGGGTCTATAGTTTTTTTGTTTTTTTTTTTAACACATTCGACCTCAGTTCCCTTCCCTGCACCACATATGTGGATCACAGATTGGCATCTTGTAACCACTTGGGAAACCTTTCAGATGATTTTGATCTGGAATCTGAAAAGGCTTTGGCTTTGGACTTTCTCTTAGGTTCTGTTCCAGGCTCCACCTCGGGCTAGCTTTGTAACCCTGAGTGAGTTATTAAACTTCTCTGAGCCTCTCTTCCCTCATCTGTACAAAAGGGCATATAAACACCTGCCTCATGAGTTGTGAGGATTAACCAGAGAAAGTGTGTAAAGCACCAAACACGTGAAAGTCCCTTTCCCTGCTCCTCTGAAGTTCCTTCAGAGTCCTGTAACCACCCCCAGCTGAATTCAGAGTTTCTCTCTTCCCCAAAATGCTATGTTTTACCTTAAAACTTGGAGTAAATTATAAATTTTGAAGACAAAGCACTCTGTTAGAGAATCAGGTGTCCTGGCTAATTAGCCACTTCCTCACTCATTTATTCATAGACTGCCTCTTCTTTTTTTTTTTTAAGATTTATTTATTTATTTGAGAGAGAGAGAGAGAGGGAGAGCATCCATGAGTGGGGAGAGGGGCAGAGGAAGAGGGGGAGAGAGAGAGAGAAGCAGACTCCCTGGCGGAGCCAGCCAAAATCAAGAGTCAGGGGCACCTGGGTAGCTCAGATGGTTAAGCATCTGCCTTTGGCTCAGGTCATGATCCCAGGGTCCTAGGATCGAGCCCCGCGTCAAGCTCCCTGCTCAGTGGGGAGGCTGTTTCTCCCTCTCCCATTCCCCCTGCTTGTGCTCTCTCGCTTTCTGTCAAATAAAAAAATAAAATCTTAACAAAAAAAGATCAAGAGTCAGACGCTCAACTGACTGAGCCACCCAGGCACTCCCATAGACTGCCTTTTTCAGAAAAGGATTTGAGGGAGGGTCCAACAAAGTTACCATAGACGCAAAGGTTAAGACAATAGAACTAGAAAATCAGCACCAAATAGAAGAGGGAAAAGCAAGCAGGCTGATTATGAAGAATAACAGAGCAACAGTGACTGGGCAGCAAATCTGTGGGCAAAAAGAGAAACACAGTAAGTTAGTTTACTTTAAAATCAGAAAGGAGAAAACATTCCAGTTCCTCCAGGGGAAAAGCAAAGCAAACAAAAACTATTCTCCCCTGACAACAAATTATAAAAGAAAAATTTCTTGGGTTCTTATATACAGGTGAGATGTCTTCCCAGCTCTTATTAATTGAATGACTTAGTTACTCAGTCACTCCGTGCCTCAGTTTCCATATCTTTAAAAGGAAGAAGATAAGCATCTCTTTTCCCTTCTTGTGAGTGTATGGTGATAATTGTTAGATAATTAGCAGATAATTGATAGATGTGTGTTCATGCCAATACAAATTGCTATTGTTGGGGCACCTGGGTGGCTCAGTCAATTAAGCATCTGACTCTTGGTTTCAGCTCAGGTCATGATCTCAGGGTCATGAGATGGAGTCCCGTGTCAGGCTCCACGCTCAGTGCAGAGTCTGCTTGAGATTCTCTCTCTCCTTCTCCCTCTGCCCCTCCCCCTGCTCGTGCTCTCTAAATAAATAAATAAATAAATAAATAAATAAATAAATAAAATCTTAAAACACACACAACAAAAACAAATTGCTATTATTAATTGACTAAAAGCATTACAATTTCTATAATTTGTGTCTGAGGCTTGAAAAGTCCTCAGTACCCCCCCCCCCAAATCTGATGGACATTTAGGTTGCTTCCACTTCTTGGCTATTGTGAATACTGCTGCTATGAACATGGGCGTGCAAATGTCTAAAAGACCCTGTTTGCAGTTCTTTGGGGGTATATGCCCAGCGGTAGGGTTGCTGGGTCATATGGTATTTCTATTTTTGAGGTTTCCACTATTCCCATAATGGCATTGCACCATTTTACAATTCCACCAGCAGGGCACAGGGTTTCAAATTCACTACATCTTTGCCTACACTTGCTATTTTGCTGGGTTTTTGATAGCAGCCCACTTAATGAGGGTGAGGTGGTATCTCATTGTTGTACCTTGTCATCATTTTTATCAACAACTTGGAAGAAGACACAGAAGGGAGAATGTCAGAATGCTAGGATCTAGACTCCAACAAAAGATTTCGTCAGCTGCAATCACGAGCTGACACTTTTACATATGATATCTTGCGCCTAAGTAAGAGAGCTAGGTGGGCCTGCCCCTGAGCAGTGCCCAGACCTGATGGGGCATCATGATCACCTGGGAAACTTTAAAGATATAGAAGATCAATTCCCAGATGTACAGATGCAGAATTTTATCACCCTACCTCCACCCATATGATTCTATATTCAGTTAAGTTTGAGAATCGAGGTATGATCCGAAGACCAGCAATATCAGGATCACAAAAATGCAGATCTTTGGGCCCCACCCCAGATATGCTGAATCAGAAACTCTGAGGGGTGGGGCCCAGCAACCTGTGTTTAGCGACCCCTTGAGATGATTCTAACGTTTGAGAACCACTGTTCTCGGAAAGCACTAAGCCCTTTTGCAACAGAGGGCATCTGTGACTTGATGGATGGAAATCCTTTTACAATAGCAATAAAATCCATTAAATACAGGGTACAAATTCAACTTGGGGCATAAGAGAGTTAGTCAAAGAAAATTATAAAGACCTAACAGGAGAAGTAAAGTAAGAAATAAATACATGAGGAACTAGATTATATTCATGGTGGGAAAGGCCCAAGCACAAACTTAATTCCAATTATATTCTCTCTCTCTCTCTTTTTTTTTGATAAATGATGAAATATGTGAACTTTAAAAAAAAATGTATTAGGGTCAAGACCGGTGCTACCAAATTTTAAAACAAAGTGGCAGTTCTCCAGATCATACAGAATCAAGTATAAAACAGAAAAACCAATCGGCAGGCCAGACTAGATGTTCCATTGTAAGAGCTTAATGTTAGGCTGCCCAGCGAGAGAAGGAAAATTACTATTTAGTGAGGTTTTCCAAAAGATTTCTTTGTTTGTCCATTCATCCTTCATCCATCAAATGTGTGCCGGTTCCTGTGAGAGACACGGAGCATTAGGAGTGGGTCTCTGCCTTCAAAAACCTCAAGCAGACACATCATCCTGTGATACGCCAGCACATCAATGGATAGTCAAGAGATATTGAATGAATGAATGAATGAATGGAGGGAGGGAAAGCCCAAAAGAAGCCCTTGGGAAGGCCATCTCATCTCTCTCGGTTGGGGTGGAAGATGAGGACTTCCCAGGAGGAAAGCCTGGCCCACAGCATTGCAGAGATCCTGGTAGACAAAGTGGGGAGGGTTTTCCAAGCCCAGGACCTGGTTCATACACAGGCATGAGGTAGACGAGAGAGTCCGGGGCATCTGGAGACTGGGAGTAATGAGAGAGGAGTCAGAAGTGGGGTACAGGGCTTGCCCTCCCATGGAGATGGGGTAGCCTATGGCCCTGTTTCTCACCCACACTAGTTCCTACAGAGCATGGAGTGAACCGTAAATCCACTCTAACTTTGTAAAGGAAGCAGAAAGATGTTTTTAGTTCTGGTGAGAAATGAAGTATTCCATCAGAGACAGGCCTCATAGACCGTGACATATAGAACAGCATTTGCATGACAAACCATAATTAAACACAAAAGGGGAAACCGTACATTGGAAAATATATGCAAGAGATATAACTTATCAAAGCTCAATGGCAAATAGATAACCAGAGACCCCACGTGAAGTCATGGAAAGAGGATGAACTTTGGAGTCCATTGAGGCAGGCTCCTTACTGCCGGTGTGATAGAACCTCGGCAGCCAGTTTCCTTGTCTTTAAAATGGGAATAATATTTCTTCCTACAGCTGCTGTGAAGATTACCCAGGAAACTTAGAAAAGCACTAGTATTGGACTGGTGCTGAGTAGGCACTGGAATCATGTTTCCTTCCCTCCTTCCATCCTTTATAAAGACATTCACAATAAGAGCCAAGATTTTTGAGTATCTGTGCCAAGTACGTTCACGTACGTTATCTTATTGAATCTGTACAACAACCCCACGACTTAGGTACTGTAGTTACTCCCATTCTACAGATAAGAAACCGGAGACGCTGAGAAGTTAGGTGACTTGCCCCAAGTAGGAACAATTCTCGAACAGAGCTAGGACTTGAGCTCAGTGCTTTTGTTCTTCAGAACCCAAGTCCATAACCCCCCATGGCACGCTGCTTCTTAGCATGTGGTCTAAGATGGAGAACAGGCATGCTGTCCACAAGGATATCTGAGCAGAAACATGGAAGGTGTGAGGAGAAGCCCACTGTGGCAGAGCTGTGGAGAGACCAGTACACTTCTAGGGGAATGAAGGCTTTTTAAGAGGCATCAAACTTCTCTGAAAGAATCTGGAAGAGTTCTACACTGAGTACAGTAGAACTGCTTGTCCCTGAGGCCCAGGGAAGACAGCTCCTGAGTTGGAGTTGGGACCCAGACCACTCAGCTGTGTGTCTCAGCTGTATGACTCTGGCGAGCCTTGGCTTCCTAATCCACAAGATAAAATAAAACAGAAAAATAATTATAGTTCAATCTCTGAGGGATTTTTTTGAAGATTAAGTTCATTCATTGATTTATTGATTCACTGGTTCATCCATTCCGTTATTCATTCCGCACATATGTGTTGGGTATTGACTTGTGTCCCAGGCACTGTGTCGAGGGTGGAAAGAAAACAGTACATACTAATCCACAGATCATGACATTGAGATTCTAGTAAAGAATACCATCTATGCGAGAATGCTTGGTGAACTGTAAAGCATTATACAAACAATACATGGTATTATTATCTCTTCGGTGAGGCAGGGAGGGGGACAAGTCTTAACATAGTAGCTCAAATATTGTTTCTAGTAGTGAAACTTTGTTATGAACACAAATGCCCAATGACAGAAGAATTGCCAAGCAAAGAACGTACTGTAGCGCTCCTAAAAATGTTAAGGGCTCTCCTTCTTCCAAACGAAGCATAGCTATTGGGAAATGTGATTTTTTTTTCTTTTTTGGGATTGGTCTGTTTGGGCTATAAAGGGTGACAGAGGCAGAAGAGAAAATCACCCTGTAGAAAGAAAGTTAATGACAGAACTGGAAAGTGTTTGTAAATTAAACCAGTACAGAGTGGTAACTAAGCCTGAATCCATACAACACCGGTGCAAATTACTGAAAAGAAAAAAACACAATCATATAACTGAGCATTTTGTCTGTAAGATGAGAAGTAACCAGTTAGGTCATACCCACTGCCCCAGCTCCGTGATTTGCAGTGTGGTGTCATTGTTGTGGCATTGTGTCAGTGTGTCCAGGATGCTTCTCCCAGCCTGCCTGGATGCCTGGTCCTCACTCTGCCTTTCATTTCAGACTACGTCAATCTGTTCAGCACCAAGTGTCATGGCTGCGATTTCCCCGTGGAGGCTGGGGACAAGTTTATTGAAGCCCTGGGACACACCTGGCATGACACCTGCTTCATCTGCGCAGTATGTTTTTAGCACGGCTGGGGGTTCTGACTTTCTGAGAAGGGGCAAGAGGGACCTAGTGGGGCCAGGTGATCAACCCTCTACATCCCTTTTAACACTGGCCCACTGATATGCTGATCATTTTTATTCATTTTTTTATTTTTTTAAGATTTTATTTATTTATTTGAGAGAGAGAATGAGAGAGAGAGCACATGAGAGGGGGAAGGGTCAGAGGGAGAAGCAGACTCCCCGCCGAGCAGGGAGCCTGATGCGGGACTCGATCCAGGGACTCCAGGATCATGACCTGAGCCGAAGGCAGTTGCCCAACTAACTGAGCCACCCAGGCGCCCTATGCTGATCATTTTTAAAAGCTGCCAAGTACCATGATGCTGGATATGTCACAGTCAAGCAAAGTTTATTACTAATAATTACTTCTAAACCAAAGTGGCTTTGTTACTCTCCATTTCATTAAGGAAACGTCAAACCAGCAGCTTGTCTCACCAGGAATGCTCTGAGTAGTTGGGAGCAGCGAATGATGCTTCGGTTAGAATAAAGAAGGATGGTTTCCTATGATTATAAGTTGCTTTAGATATGATGAAGTGATTCAAGGGTTTTCCCCCAAATTTTCACCATGAAACACTAGATTGGAGCTTGTTGACCCATTCTATGAAAAGCTGAGATAAGGTTTCTTTTGAGAGAACATTTAGGAATCGGGGCTGAGTATCAGGTAAAGTGTGGCCATGTATCAAATATCCATGCACTTTAAACTTGAACTATTTTTATAGGCTTATGATATAGGACAACCCTCATCATAAAGGTTACTGCAATGCACCTCAGTGTCTATGCCACATCTACACTCCACCATGCCTGAGGTGCTCTGTGTTGACTTTGAATGTGAGTTTGCTAGGCCTGCTGTAACAATGTACCAAAATCCGATGGCTTCAAAAACTGAAATGGACTCTCTCATAGTTCTGGAGGCTAGACGTCTGAGTTTAAGATGTCGGCAGGGCCGTGCGCTCTCCCCTAGCTTTTGGTGGTTTCCAGCAGTCTTTGGTGTTTCTTGAATCACAGCTGCAGAACTTCAGTCTCGGGCTCCATGGTCCCATCGCATCCTTCCCTCTGTGTGTCTGAGCCTTTGCATGGCTTTCTCTGCTGTGTGTGTCTGTCTCTATATGCTTCTCCTTTTCTTATAAGGACACTGGTCCTACTGGATTAATGGCCCATCTTACTCCAGTATGACCTCATCTTAATTTACATCTTAATTATATCTGCAAAGATCCTGCTTCCAAATAAGGTCACTGGTGTGTCCCTGCCCCGAGTAGATTGAAGGTACTGGGAGTAAAGACTTCAGCATATGAATTTGGGGGAGGAAACAACACAATTCAATCTAAACACTCCGATTTTCCAGCTTTTGGAATAGATTTTCTAATTGCCTTTTAGGGTCCTTTAAATACATCAGGTCCTCCCCTCTGAAAACGGACAACAATGTGAATATACTGGCTTTCTGGTTGTCCCCTAAAGAGCCATGACTCAGCAAGGCACATAGGGCCCTCTGACCCCAACATTCAAGTCATGGCTTGTCTGATCCTAAGACACTGCCTGCAAGTCTGGTTGCCCAACTTCTAGAAGGATCCAAGAGACTTGGAGAAGGTCCAGGGCAGACTGTGACACAGAAGGCCTGTTCTCTCAGGGCAGGCTGATGACAGGTCTGTGTCACATGGAGAGGGTACCATGGAAAAGGTGAGCATGGGTCTGCTCCCTTGAGCCCACTGAGTTTGGCTGAGAATCACAGTGGCACAAATCCCAGAGAGAGACCAGAATAAGCAGTAAAGCATAGGGTTGTTCAGGCCAAGATTACAGATAAGTTCTGGCAAGGTGTGAGAGACCCATAGCACTGCAGAAGGATCCATCTAAAGAAGCCAGGCAGATCCTGTCCTTTGGAGAATCAGTGTGGTGAATGAATCATTACATTTTCCTCCTAAGTGGCCCTGTGTGGCACTCACTGCCCTGTTAAGATATAGCAAAGTGGAACATGGTTTTGGTTTTAATTTTTGGAAAGCAATCTTTTGATTGGAAAACTGTGAGGGTTTTTTTGGGGGGGGTGAGGGGAATCCTTTTCCATCACTTTATATTTCTAAATCATCTTTGATGAGCATATATTTTCTTATGATTAAAAAATTAATAAGAAAGGAAGATCAGAACTAGCTCTCCCAGCTGATAAGCTGTTTTCCCACCAGTTAGATCTCAGGAGAGCACATAACTTTAGACTAATTCAATTTAGCAAATATTGCTTGAGTTTGGGGAACACAAGAGTATTCCCGAACAAAGCTCCACCTTCAGGGAGTTTGGAATCTTGAAAGAAAACAAAGTTGACATATACAAGCAATTAAAGAATAGAACAAGACAGCCTCTCTAAAGTCCCAAGCATATGAAATGATGGCCGAGATGGGGCCCCTGGGTGGCTCAGATGGTTAAACATCCAGCTCTTGATTTCAGCTCAGGTCATGATCTCAGGGTCATGAGATGAAGCCCCACATTGGGCTCTGTGCTGAGTGTGGAGTCTGCTTAAGATTCTCTCTCCTTCTCCCTCAGCACCCCCCACTCGTGCTCTCTCTCTCTCAATAAAAGATAATAAGAAATATTAAAAAAAAATAAAATGATGGATGAGAAGGGCTATGTGGGTTGGGGTGAGGGGTTAAGCTCCTGTCTGGGGGTTGGGGTGAGGGGGTAAGCTTCTATCTGGCTTCAGCACTTGAGTTCCAATGGAAAGGATATGGAGCCTATCTTTAATGGGATAGAGATGTCTTACTGTGGCCCCTCTTTTCCTCTAAGTCTTGTTGGGTCTCTAGCCCTTCCCCACTGGTGGGGGAGGGGAGGGCAGCAGTCCTAGGGGCTGCCACAGCTGGCCTACGTCATTGCCTTCCAGCACTGTCCATGACCACTACTCCTTCCCACCCAGGCCCTGATGCCACTTGACCATGCAACCTGGGGCTTGAACCGTCCCCGCTGTGCCGTTCCGCTGAGTAGTCTGGAGGCCTCAGCAGGAAGCCCCCGTGCATCCCACACAGAGTCTCCTAGCCCAGGACACTGAGCAAGACCTTTTTATGATATTTTCTGCCCTCAGCTCCATCTTATCAATGAGCTGCACCTAGCCTCTGGCCCGTCCTCACTTCTGGCTCTTTAGTCTCCCAACACACTGTCCAACTTATCCCAAAGTTCTCACAAGTAACCAGCACTGTCCTAGACTAGGCAGGGTCTCCCAGCCAGAGCCTCAGATGTTGACAGGCAGCTCCTTGACAGCTCACTCCAGAGCTGCCTTTCTATCTCCCATGAAACCCATCCTCACTGTTGGATCTTATGGGCTTATCCCCATGTCTTCACCAGCGGCTTGAGGCCACCCCAAGAGCCTCTCAACATTACTGCCCCCACCTGGATGTTTTCAGTCCCTTTTTTAGGTCATTGGTTTCCAGGGCCCATTGTCAGCCCTGTGTGATCCCAAGTATAACATTCTCAGTTGGGCCATGAGGTACTTGCACGTGGGACCACTGTGATGCCACCTTTCTTTCCAACTGTCTTGGAGTGGTCACATGCTCACTGAGCTAAGCTCATCTCAAGAGGATGATTTCTCTATCCTCATGCCTTCTGTATGTGGGAACTCTCCCTGCTGTCCTCCTCCTCCTTCTTTAGTGGGGGACAGGCAGAGGGAGAGGGAGAGATTCTTAAGCAGGCTCCACTCCCAGCATGGGGCTTGATCTCACGACCCTGAGATCATGACCTGAGCTGAAATCAAGAGTTGGATGCTTAACCGACTGAGCCACCCAGACACCCCTACCTGCACTTCTTCTGATGTCAGTGTCCTGGATGTGGTCCCTACTTCTGCTCCCTGTTTGGTATGTTCAGTGCCCTCCATGACCCTGGGGCTCATCCCAGCCTATGTGACTTCCCAGCTGACTCTGACACATTGGCATACTGCCCACCCAGGGCCAGCCTACATACTGGTAGTCCAACAAACTTGGAGGGCTACCTCAATACAAGTCCCGTAAGCCCAGAACAATTTCAAGTAAGCCTAGCCCCCCTCTGTGGTGGGGTATGGGGAAGATGAGCTAGATCTAGGGTCTTGCAGACCTGGACACCGAGTCCCAGCTCCACAATTTGCTAGGTCTGTGACTTAAGTGGGACGCTTGGCTCTATGAGCCACAGTTGTTCCCTTGTGAAATGGGGAAAAATCATACCTTCCCATAAGTTTTTGTGAGAATTAAATGAGATCATGTATATAGAGTAGCCTCCTGCTTGACCCGTAGTAGCCTCAACATACATCACTTAGCTTTCTTCTTTCTGTGACGTCTCCGTCTTCAAACTGCACTCATATTTTGTCATCATGGGGCTATATAATTTTGCCTCTATTTCTTTTATATACTGTCTCCCTGCATACACTTTTCCATATTTGATTGATCTTTTTCCTGGTGGCATTCCATTGGAAAATGTACTGTAAGAATCTACTTTGTCATCTCCCCATAGAGAGACATTTCAGTGGTTTTCAGTTTTCACTTGAGCACACGCTGTTCCGTGCAATCGTTTCTGCAAGATAAACTCCTCCTGAGTGGTACTGGGCAGACACATCTTTACAGCTCCTCTTCAGTGTTGCCACATCCCTACAGAAGACTGAGCTGATTCACCGAGTGGTGTCCCTAGCAGTGCACAAGTAGGACTGATTCCCTTTTGGCATTGTTGGCTGTTGACTGATACTCTTTTTTTTTTTTTTGCTTTTGCTTTTTGGCTACAGTCTTCTAAGGTTAAAGGTACAAGCGATTGAGGGGTTTTGTTGTTGTTGTTGTTGTTAGATTAATAGATACTTAGGGGTCTCTCACAGAGGTTTTAATTTATTTTTCCTTTAATTATTAGTGAAGATAATCTTTTCTGTTGTGTTTGTTAGTTTACTAATGGTATTTTCTTGGATGTTAATCACCCCTGTGGCTATTGACTCATGATTTTGTTCTGGTGTCTTGTAAACTTTGGACAGCATCCATCGATCATCTTCATCTTGTATATTTTTTTGTATTCCATTTCATTAATTTGAGTTTAGTTCTGTGTTCCTCTTTGGAAGTCTTAAATGTTACGTAGTTCGATTGTCTACTCTGCTTATGTCATTAGGAATTTGTAGCGGGGAGAGCTAGGCTCACCTCATGCCTGTCTGTCCTCTGTCTCAGGTCTGCCACGTGAATCTGGAGGGGCAGCCATTCTACTCCAAGAAGGACAAACCCCTGTGCAAGAAGCACGCACATGCCATCAACGTGTAGGGAGCCCAGAGCGTCTGATGAGGACAGGCCGGGAGCTGCTCCTGCCGCTGACAATAAAGGATTCAAGGAGGCTGACGTTTCTTTTTGGGGGAAAGGGGGAAGACAGGAAGCTACTGAGCCCTTTTGAAGTATAATTTTAGTCCTTCCTTCTGCACACAGATCGTGTATTTGCATAGTTCAGACTAGAAGCCAAATGAAGATTCCTCAACCAAGCTAGTAACTAATCCAAGGCTGGAGTGGTAATTCAGATGCTCAGGACAGAGTTCCAAGAACTCCAGAGTGGAAAACAAAAAAGTCATTTTCTCGAAGCGATACCCTTCCCTGAGGTCACCAGCGCAGGGACAGAGCTCAGAGCGGTTATGGAGACTCTGGAGCATGCGTTGGAGTACTCTAGAGCTCCTCTGGCAAACAGAACGAAGTGCTTAACAGTACTTGCTGTGGGGTATTTTTAGAGCCATAGCTGAGGGCTTGTTAGCTGAGACCAATTGGGCTTTCCTCACCAAAAAAGGAAGTGTTATTCCATTGCTAATGTCATGGAGCTACCTCTGCGCATCAGACTTCAGACCTTGAACAGAGTTGAGCGTTCCGAGGGAGTCTAGGTGTCTAGGAGGTGTCTTCTAGGAGCTGCGGGGCAGTTGACAGGGCTTTAGGAAGGGCTCTGGCTCATGCTGCAGACATCTCTGGCTCACGTCTAAGACATCCTATGTCCCCAGAAGGTTTAGCTCCTTTTTGAATTGTGAAGGGAAAGTGGAATTGGGTTTTTCCAGTTTTGCTTTGCTGTGTGTGAGAGGAGATTTTAAAGTGACTCTGGGTTGCGTCTAGCCTTTGTTTTGCTTTATGAAGTTCATGAGCATGAATGTCCCGGTCTTGTGCATGTATTTCTCTCCCAGTCCTGTGACTTGCTCTCTTATGAAGTCTTCCTCAGCGCCCCTTCCCCCAACAGGCATAATGACCTGTGGACAAGAAGAGAGAGACGGTGTCTGAAACAGGATGGTAGAATAGGCTGAGAACATGCCCAAACTCTGCATGGAGAGAGGAGCCTTATTTTCTGCCAGCCTCAGTAAAAATGCCAGTGTTGGCAGCACCTCCCACCTCAGATCTGCACCATCCTTCTCAAGTGTTCCTTTCAGTGCCGCACACTGATTATGTGCAGGGATGTCGGCCGTTGGGAGAAGAAGAGGGACTGATAATGTACTCATTTGCCATTTGGGCCCATAGTTTGAAAATATATGAGCCAAGTTGATCTAGAACTTATTTAAGTATTTATTGAAATAGACTTGGGTCTTCAAACTTCTTTAAAACATTAGTTATAGTTTGGGTTAAGTAAGCATTTTAAAGCTGTTTGGTGATGAAGAGAGCAGCTTAGTTTCTGAGGCTGGAAATGGTACATTCTCTTTCCCTTCAGGAAGCACTGTTATTATGCTCATTGAACAAGGCATGGAAGCAGGCCATCTGAGGGGGTGTTTCTCACTTGAACACAATAGTTAGGCACTCTTCCAACTCACTGCTACTCTCTCCTCACTCCTGTTTTGGATTTTTCTCTTTGCATGTTTTATGAGAATGCATTAGAACATTTTCTTCTTCTGAGAACTGAGGCTTCCAGGGGACTGCCTTTCTACCTGAGTGTGTCCCTTCTCCTTGAGGGAGAAAGAAGCAGCAGGATGCGCCCCTAGCAGGAGGCCCGTGCTTTTTTTCCAAGGGTGAAGCCATGTTCCCGAGGGAGCACCAGGAGGGACATATTGTGCTCCTACCACGGGGCCCTTCTTTACCTGTGGTGCAGTAAGAAAGTGAATCTAAAGTACCAGGCAGTAAAATCTGCTGGGAGTGGCTAGAGATTTTTCAGGAGTTGCAAACAAGTACCTTGGAGCATTCTGTTATTTTTGGAAAGTTCAAATATACAGGGATAAGGAGGTTGCTGACTGTACAGAAAAGCTCTAGGCAGGTTTTCTCTTAAAGCAAAAACGAAAACAAGAACACATTTTCAGGGACTGGTCTCGAGGAAAGGAAAAACAGTTCCTAAGAGTTAAGTTTCCGAAAATATCTTTTAAAAGGGTTTATGCACACCCGGACACACGCCTGCCCGTGCGACCATTAAAAAAGTACATGATCATTAAAAAGAAAAGTGAAGCATCTCAAAGAAGGACTTCATCATGGTTATTTACTGAATCGGTTTTTCTACATCTCAGAGAGAGTGAGTGTCGATTCTGAGGGACTCTTTTATTTACCGAAACCCAAAACAAACAAAAAACTATTTTAAAGGTAGCAGGAGAAGAAGGTAGTTTTGAATATGGGGTTCCCTCAGTGTTTGCAAGTTTGGCGTAGCTTTGGGGTTAAGGTTGTATCTATCTCAACATCAGGGATGTCCTAGGACACCAAACAATTTCTAATAGTTCCTAGTGGGGAGCACACTTCAGATCTGCTGTTCTTGTCTCCTCATTTAACACTTACAAACATTAACTTTTTGCAACAGAGTGATTTGTGTCTGCAGTGTTTGTGTTAGGAATCTAGCTTTTATAATGTTAGCTCTTCAACCCAGGTACTCTTGCTTTGGGATTTTTTTTTTTTTTAATTTCAAGATTTCAAAAGTGGAAAGTAGTGCGGTAGAGGTGTGCACAAAAATATTTTGCATGTTTGTTTGTTTTGGGGTTTTCTTTGGCCTGTGTGAATTCTACTTTTTAGCACAATAAAACCTAAAAAAGATGTGCAAATGCTGATTTTTCTGTGTAAAGTTTTTTTCACATGACACCAAAAGTAAATTATTTCTAAATGGCTGCAAAAAAAAAAGTTTGAGGCAAAACGAAATGTCCTACAGAGAAGAAACATATAACTCACTTGCTCTGTTTGTTGGCTGTGTGGCCCAACAGCAGTTTAATTGCCTTGTTTAAACAGACAAGGATATGTGAATAATACAAATGTTTTGCATACAAAGGGAATTTACCGGGTAAATAATAAAGTGAAGACCAGGCTTTGCCTTTTCTTTATGGAAAGGTTTATTTATTTCGCTACTAGGTGATTAAGTATTTCAGATTTATTTTTATTCTGTTCTAAATGGCTTCATTTCTAGAAGATTTTCTTCCATGTCTTTTGTTTTGAAATAAGCTCAGAGAAAAACTCTTTCATGGCACTTTTTTTTCTTTTTTAATAAGGAAGACCTTTCTGAGGATACTATGCTTAACAAACCCAATTCACTCTGTTTTTATTTTGTTTTTTGAAGATTTTATTTATTTATTTGCCAGAGAGAGGAAGAGCACAAGCAGGGGGAGTGGCAGGCAGAGGGAGAAGCAGGCTCCCCGCTGAGCAGAGACCCCCCCCCCCCCGCCCCGACGCGGGACTCAATCCCAGGACCCTGGGATCATGACCTGAGCCGAATGCAGACGCCCAACCATCTGAGCCACCCAGGCGCCCCTCAGTTCACTCTTTGTTAAGGTATTCTGTTTCCAGGCATTACTTGAAAAGAAAGAGAACATTTTCATAATTTATTTGATTTTTTTAGCACCTCAATCAGATTTTTGAAAGAGTTGTGCAATTGCAAGAAGGAGTAAGATATTATTTTAGCACTTTTTAAAGCTATAGCAATTTAGATGGAGAAAAAGAAAAAAAAAAAAAGAGTCTCATAGAGTCATAGAATGTAAAGTTGGAAGGAATCTAAGAAATCCCCTGGGCATTTTTCAGATGTGGGAACCAAGAAAGGAGAAATGGCTTTCCAGTACACACGGTCAGCTGGGGAGGCAGTCGGGGGCCATGGACCGAACACGGACTTTGACGTGTTAAGACCAGAACTTAGATCAAGGCTGATCTAATATCACCAGGGTGACATTGGGAGAGTGTCTCTCATCCCTCTTGAGAGTGAAGGTAATAACACCTGCCTCACAGGTGTTTTGAGAGCTAAATGCAATAGCTTTTGTTAGAAATTACAACACAAATGTTAGTTACCATTATCACCAATGGAGTAGGGTCAGAGCCCAAGGCCCTCACTCTTCCTTCATTTTCTTAACTCCTTCAGTGTGTCCATTCAGAAAAAAAATGCTTTGGGAAAACCTGCAGCAAGTATAAATATTACACAAGGAGGCTGGAAATATGAAACACCTGGATCAAAATTTGGTATAATTATCTTGTACCAGAATTTCTGCCCTTTTCACAGAAGAAAAGTTGTTTATTCATTTGCTCATTCGTTCATTCTTTCAACAGATATTTTATTGAGCACCTGCTATATGCCAGGCACTGCTCTGGACACTGGGAACAGAATAGTAAATAAAACAGACAAAAACTGTTATTCCCATGGAACTTAGATTCTAGTGGTTTGGAATCAGCAAAACAAGATAATAACTAACTTGTGTTGGATTAGTTCTGAGGACAAATATTTGACTATTTAAAGCTGCTGTACAGGTTAACGACTGCCATTCAGCTGGATTTAGGCTCATTGATGATAAAGACATGGCATGAAGAATAGGTTCTGGATCAAATCCTAGGAAATGGTTGCATATGCTCTTCACCCTAGAGAGTCACAGTACACATATGTGAGCTGCATGAGTGCTTGGTCCCTTAATAAAGAAACTTGCTTCATTTATCAAAGCACAGAATATGGGACTCCAATTTTGAAAACACTGCCTAAAGTTTGGGTTTAGGCTTTCCTGATTCTAGCTTTCCCAGGACAATCCTGACAATGTTAAGAATTTTTCTCAATGTTCCACTCACACACTTAGAATCACTTCAACAACTTGGGCAATGTATGTTGTTGTTTTTTAAAAATAGATTTAATTTTCAGAGCAGTTTTAGGTTCACAGCAGAATTGAGCAGAAGGTACACAGATTGCCCAGATACTCCTTGCTGCAACTCACATACAGCCTCCCCCATTATCAACAACCTCCCCACCAGAGCGGGACATTCATTACAATCGCTGAACCCATACTGAGGTGTCATTATCACCCAGAGCCCACAGGTTACATTAGGGTTCACTCTTGGTGGGTTTGACACATTCACATTCTTTGGGGTTGAACAAATGTATTATGACATTCCAACATCATACAGAGTTGCAGTAAGAACCTTCCGTGCTGCACCTATTCATCCCTCCCTCCCCCTTAGCCCCTGACAACCACTGATCTTTTTACTGTCTCCATAGTTTTGCCTTTTCCAGAATGTCATAGAGTTGGGATCACACAGTATGTAGCCTTTGTAGGTTCTTGGCTTCTTTCACTTAGTAATATGCATTTAAGTTTCCTCTAGGTCTTTTTATGACTTGACACATCATTTCTTTATAGTGCTGAATAATATTCCAGCAATATATCTTTTCATTCCACAAACATTCAGTGAGTAGCTAGGCTCTCGTGTAGGGATGGAGGATAACAATCCAGACAAGGTTCCTGCTTTCACAGAGCTTACACTCTCGGGGACAAGACAAGCGATAAGCAAGTATACATAATTAGTATAATTTGAGACAG